TGAAAATTAAGCAAAGAAAAATTTATATTTTACTAAACAATATAATTGTACATAAATTATATATTTGTAAATACTTTGGTTTTGTTAATGAGTAAAATATAAAATAAATTAAGTGACAAGTTTTGTTCTAATTTTAATTTAAAAAATCAATCTCAATTGTTTAATTAAAAAAAAAAAAAAATGCGAGTTTCTACGATAATTTTAGACTGTCGATCTTAAAAATTAAATGTATAAAAATATGAAAATATAACCTAATTTTTGGGAAGTTGAACTTACTTTGTTCTCAATTACTTTTAATATATTTTGTAAATTCAATGTTCTTATAACCCTTCACACAATACAAATATAATTGAATTAATCAGGTTATTTAATTTAATTAGGTCAGTCATGGTACTATGCGCCTCATGCCACACTCAGTACAAAATTTAACATCAACAATTGGATATTTAAATTTACACTCATGACAAAATTTAACATTTTTTCATAAGTGTTGAATAACTTTTAGTTGACATTTGTTCCGATTTTCTGTTCAAGCTGTAACAAAAAAAAAAAAAAAACATTTATATTGTATATATTTACACGCATCTACACTATACAAAAAAAAATGTATTTTAGTTACTTAATTTGCACTACTAATCAAATAAAATATTATCTATATGCCCAGCTAACATAATTTAAGTTAATTCCAGTAATAGAGAAAAAAAATAATTTAATTATACCCAAGTTTTTAAAATTAAATTGATGTACATTGATAAAATTAAATATTTAAACTAAATTTAAAGATATACATTTTATTTATTACCATTGTAACTTGTGTACCACAAATAACCTCAACATTATTTATATTGTAAATTTTACTATTTTAAAAATGTTCAATCTCTACAAAAATGGTTTCAAAATACTAATTTACAAATTATTAAGCAATTGAAGTTCATACAGTTCATAAAAAGTAACGAATATGTATATATTTTACCAACCAATACATTAAAATTTAGTAAATATTTAAATAATATAAAAAAATGAATGTATAATATTAATATCATTACTATATGATTCTAAGTTAGGGAAAATTGCAAAATTTCCTATTAAATTAAATGTATGTCAATATTCAATTATTATGTGAAACTAACATAATTATCTGAGAATTAAAATAAAGAGGATCATGCTAGTTTCAACATTTTACCTATACTGTAGTCCACACTACCAATGTATTACGTATATAATATGTATAAATGTACATAATATGTATATAATAGTACAAAGTGTCCGCGTTCTGAAACGTAATTTTTTATCCAGCCGTACTAAGTGTCTGCGTTTCGCATTTTAAACAATAGACCGTACAAAGTGACCGTTTACCCGAACATAATAATGCATTACTTCGAAATCATCATTCATCAGAACAATCAGTTTTTTTTTCACCAGCAATATTAATAATATCAAACCGTTTAAGTCGCAGATAGTGAATTGTTTTTATCACATTAACAGATTTAGCTACTTTAACTTCACTTAAAAACATAGGCGTGCGCAGACTTTGTCCGCAGGGGGGACCCCTTAAAAAAGTGAACCAAAGATTCTTGTACTAAAGACTACTAGTATAATTAAATATTTTAAATTTTATAAATTATTTATTTAATTCAATATGCAAATATAAAAATAAATACTATTTAAACTTACACAGTTTATATCTAAGAAATCCTTATTTACATATTATTATACTATTTACAACAACAAAAATTATTTTTGTTATTTTTTAACTCCACAACACCATTTAAAATATCATAAAATCGTATTATAAGCGACATATTGAATACTGTATATACTTGTAATACTAACTGCGACAATTTTAAAACGAATACTGCTCTTAAAATTACTTCCTGCAATTGACCCTGATATTAATTTATTAAATAAATCTTCTATTAAATCTGTTCCATATCTTAATCATTGAAGACACATCATTGAAAAAATGATTAAAACTTTTATTATAATTCGTATCACAGTCAAAAATTAAATTAAGTATATAATTTAAAACTATTGATATCAACACAAATGCACAAGAATAAATACAGGTAAGAATTATCACAGAATTGGAAAAATATATAATTTCGGACTTTTACAATCCTTGATTGTTAGTCCTAAGATATACCAAAATTTGTTGGTAAAAGTCCGAACTGCTAAAATCATTCGGGGTTTGACCAAAAAATAAAGTATATCCTAGGTTTTACCGGTAAATCTTAAGTTTCACCGATATTCGTACTATTACCGTAACACACATATATATATAAATAATTGTAATAATACTAACGATATCATCAATGGAAAGAATAAAATGTGTTCGGTGTATTATATTTATTTTCAATGTTTTTTTATGCGTGAATACCATAACTGAACACGTACAGAAACGTCTGAACCTTATGTAAGTACATCGATTACCCGAGTATTAGACCGATCATTTAACTTATAGAATATTATCTCTAGGCACAATTAAAACAAATAATAATCGAATAAAATAGCCGTCTTAAAAATTAATACATATTCTATATAAATAAATATATATATACAATGGAACCCATAGGCGTGCGCATGAGGTATGCAGGGTATGCAGGGTATGCAACTGCATACCCTAAACATAGAGTCTTCTTTCTAAAATTACAAAAAATAAATTAAAAATTATGACATATTTGGTCTTATGTATATTATGTGATTTTGTATTACATTATGATTTTTATTATATTTTTATATTCAGTCCCAGACAGTTTAATTTATTTTTGAAACACAAATCATATGCTATAATAACGATTTAATGTGTTAATGAAATTAAGAAGTACAATAGTTCAATCGAGATTAAATAGCTATTTAATCAATTACAGAACAAGAAATGGCTATAAATCCCAAAAACATTATTGTTAATATTAAGAATTCAACTGTACGCAGAATCGTTTTATGATTAATTTTGATTATTTATCAAATTTATTTTGTTTTTCATTTAAGTATATAATTACGTTTTTATTTATTTACCCTATTTAAACGTATTATTCAAACCATTTCAAGTGTTATGTATTTAATTCTTTTTTTTTTCGTAATTTATTTTAAATTTTAATTATGAAGACAGTTATAACGATTAAGAAATGGCTATTTAGTCACTTTTTTCGGCAAAAAAAAAAATTAGAATTTTAAATTAATTAGTTATTATGACCAGAATTTCGAACGCTTAAATTAACTTTCAATTTTAGGAGGAAGTAGGCAGTGGCACCATTTTGCATACCCTGAAAAAAAAGGTCTGCGCACGCCTATGGTGGAACCTCGGTAACTAAAATCAGTCAAGGACAAAAAAAAATTCCAGTTATCGAAAATATTTTTTTTAAACAACACAAAGACTTAACTTTGTAATTTTATTTATTTATATATTTACTAATAAATGTATTATATATGTGTGTATGTAAATTGTATGTAATAAATAAAGTAGCACTGTTGTTTATCAGTCTATAAAATAAGTGTGTAATAAATTAGATTCTGCTCCTTAATCTGGCTTTACCCGTTACAAAGCTAAGCAAATTTCAAAGATATTGATTTAAAAAAAAAAATACATAGAAATATTCTTGAAGGCTTTAACTTATTCAATTTAGCTATTTAAATTTGTGAATTCATTTCGGCTATTTTAATTTTTTCGTCATTTTCGATCTTCGGTATTCTCTCTTTGAATATTGCTTAAGTTATTTTTGCCTAAATTCTTACGTTTACTCAGTGCAGTCAAAGTTAACTCTATCTTGTAAGCTTTCTAACGCTATTTTTAGGTCGTTAACTTCTTGTTTCTCCTTCTGGTATCTAAAAACTAAAAATAAATATATTTGATTTGGAATTACTAAAATGTTATTGTGGTGTTATATAATAAACAAAATCCGTTGCTTTATAACGTATTGTTTTTATTTTTTGTGCCGGTCCTATAATACAACTTGTTTCAAAAATACTATCATTGTATACAGTGTGTTCAACGATAAAGATAACACGAAATATTTGCAACACATCACCTTGTATTTTATTCGGGTTTTTTTTATTTGTAAAAGGACTTGAATTTACAATTTTTTTTTTGAAAAATTCAAATTTTTAACATTTTTTTCTCGCCTATGTGCAGTAAAACAAATTTTTTTTTAAATAGCAACCTATATTTTTGAGTTCATATTTAGATTACATTCATTTTTTTTAAATAATTTTGACTTATAAAGTTTTATTCTATCTTTAAAATTAACCAAGTTTTATCGTTGAACACAATGTATATATATATTTTAATTTGTTAAAAGTGTTATTAAAAATAAAAAAAAAATGAAAAATTCGAGTGGATGATAAACTAAATTCGCTCCGATCAAGGTGAATCGAACATAGTGAATTGAATCATCATGGTGAGTCGCAATTCCCATCCAGTGGCGGATTTGGGGGCAGGCTAAAAGGCTTATAGACTAAGGTGGCTTTTTTTTATAGAATTAAGTGTTATTATTGACTTATTAGGTATATTTATTTTAGTATATTATTTTTATATTTAATAAAATAACATTTACAATCTGCATAAAAAAAAAATACAATAAGCAAATATGATAGCAAAATATAATAAGTAAAATAATAGACATGACATATTTCATTTTTAAAAGTTTTCTATTTTAAAGATTTTATATTTTATTTTATTTTTTTTTGATAAAAAAACTGAATAAAATTTGAAGAGAATGGTTTAAACCAAATATTGTTGGTTTCTTAGTAGAGTGATAGGGGAGGGACAAAGTGATTAAGCCTTAGGGCGCCAAAACGTTAAATCCGCCACTGTTCCTATCCCCATTGGTGACTGAGAATTATCGTAATGGTGTGCGAGTTCGTGCGAACATATTTGTGTGAGTACCTGCGCATATGAGTGAACGAGCGCGTGTGCAAATGATTGTGCGAGTGCGTGCGCGGGCATACAAGTGCGAGTGCGTGCGCGCGTGCAGTATGATAACTGTATCGATGCACCCTCGTCATCGGATCGGACCACGAGGCACCTGAATGATTTCAGACGGCCCGTGGCGGCGGACCCACCCTGTGCGGACGGCGTGTCCGGCCCGAACGACATTCCTTCGCTCTCACCACCCCCCCCCCACCAACGACGCGAACGACCCTCGCACCGTACAAGCGATCCAACAGGTTTGACCATCATGCCTCCGCCGCGCATTCCTCCCCGCCGATCAATCGCCCTCGACGAAAACCGAATCGTGTCGTCGACGCCGCAGACGATCGTTTAACCTTCAACTACGCATTGGTCCGAGTGCCGTTGAAAGATTTTCGCCCGTCGAACACGGATCGGCTACTGCACTGGAAAGTGGTCCTGAACGGTGAGTAATTCGATTGACGTTAATATTACTAATGTTCTTGTCGTTGTTACTGCGTCGTTGCAGCAACACGGTCGGCAGCGGTTTTTCGAGAACCGCGTTTGTTCTGAAACCGTTTTCACTTCTCGTCCGTTGTTCTAAAGCAATGGTTTTCAACGATACGGCACACCGATCCCCATAATATGTGAAGCATATTTTATGTACATAGGTACATTATTTACGGTCTACTCTGTTGGAGGGTTAATTATATATGTGTTATAAATTAATTACGTAATATTTATGTGAAATACATTAATACGATCGATCGAGATCGGCGCACGCACAATGAATAATATTTTATGTATTAGTTCGATTAGTTTGATTAGTTTTCATTGAATAACCATTATAGTGGTTTAGTGACTCATATTTTTTACGTTTAGAATTATTGGTGCTACAACTTTCTAAATCTCTAATCATTAGTTTTTTAGTTTAAGACTATGCTTTATATGTAAACACTAATTAAGTAGTTCTTTCTGTTGTTAACCTATCCTCTTTGTATACGCTAGTGCATGAATTGAAAACAATTTTTCTATTAAAGTAGTGGTAGGTGGACATTGTAAAATTGTTGATGCAATTGTTGCTTCTTTTCTAGATGAAAAAATTCTATTCCACCATTTTATTATGGTCTCTTGTGTACCGTCAGTTTTAGTATTTAGTCAATTCCGTACAAGATGTTTGGACCGTAAATCACTGTTTATTCTACAATTTGCAAATCAGATATAACATCAACTTTGTTAACTTTAGTAATATTTTCTTGAGAATAAATAAATTGTGATGTATATACACTTTCTTTTTAAATTAAATATTTCCTATGCATGACAATAAAGGTTTCTAATTATGTCCAGGTGCTGATAGACTATTTTTACTATTTAAACACGTTTTTATTAATGTTATTTTGTTGTATATTATGCATATTATTTTCATGTAATATATAAATTAATTCTTATTCAGAACAATCAGTTGAAAGTATAGCATTGGCTTCTACTTTTAATATGATTTATTAGTATTATATTTGTGATATTGAAGTAAAAAGTAAAATCAGTTTCATCATCTTATTTAACAAAAAGTGTGCCGATGGGATACACACAATTTTGAAATTCTTTGGGCTTCAAAAAAGATTTATAAATACTAAAATAGAATAATCCATGAATTAATAAACTTATTTAAAAAATCAGATTGTATTTATTTTAATTAAGCGTTATACATTTTATAATATATGTGGATATTATATATAAAATATGTATTTGAAAATCTATTGTACATGTATTGAAAGTCTTATGCCTCTTACATTTGAACATAACTTTTTCCATGCAAATTAATTTTCTATTTTAGTATATTTCAAAATTACTGGAGGACCGGTAAAAAGTTCTATGAATGTTATTAAAATTGTGAAATTTATCAAACATATTTTCTAAAATGAAATATTGCGTAAGTTCTCAAATAATACTTTATACAAAACATTAAGTTCATAATATTTTTTTTTTTTATGATTTAAACTGCAATGACCTGAGGCGTATCTAATTCTAAATGTCTGGTGTTATGTAGCACCAAGAATTCCAGATACCTTACAAACATGTGTGTAAATACTTAAATTTAAAATTTTTTTATATGAATAATTAAAATATTTTCTTTAAATATTTTAATAAAATAAAATAAGAACTAACAATGAATTATATAAATATTGCACATGATACCTTTTTATTTATAATAATAACTGTAGGCATCTTATCATTTTAAGCAAACTTATTTAAAATTATTTTTGTATTAAATCCATTTGCTAAATTTTTTTTCAATGTGGAAGATGCCTAGATTTGATAGATGTTCTTGCAAAATTGATGTTTGAGTCTAATTCTTAATTCTCCTCATGGCAGAAAAATATCATTCACTATAGCCATTTCATGTTTTAATGATTTTAAATCAGTTGAAAATAAAAATAAAAATTAAATTAATGTTATTCATTAAATTGTTTAAAATTTTTCATTCTATAAAAAAAATAACATTTACTCTGTAATGGTTGATGAAGTATAATCTTTTACCATATTCATAGTCTATAAAATCATCAACTGTATTTGCTAATTGAAAACTATTATATGAAAATTGAAATTATTATTAATAAAATCAAGTACTGTGTAATAAGCATGTTGGCACCAATAGTTTTTAATTTTACTTTTATTATTAATTTCTGTATTCATAATTAATCAGACTCAAAACTAGCTCTAGTTGAGAATTATTTATTTAAGACATAATATTCAATCATTGTAATCGTTTTCTTTTTCTTTCAGAATTTTTATTATTGAACATTCATTAAAAATAAACAAATACTCATGATTTAATCATTAATAACAAATTATAAATTAACAACTCAATTTAAATACAAAAGGTAAAAATGAATAAATTAGTAAAATGCATTTATTGACTTGATAGTAGACCTGTAAACCTTTATATCACTTACCATTCAATGATGTTTCTAAAATGATATCATGCTTATTTTCAAATATAATTAATTCATTCCATATATGACTAACGAGTTTCACCTAACCTTATAATACCCAATTTTCTAATTTTTAATTTTCCTGCCACTCTAAAAGGTTTTTATTCATAAAAGGTTGAGAGATGTAAATAAAAATTGCTTCTAGGCAATTTAAAGAATTTTTTGCATCCTTAATTCAATGATAAAATGTTTTTAAGTAGTTAATAGTTAAGAAAAAATTACTTTTTATGTTTTAGGAATTTAAATTATTTCAATTTATTTCAATATTAAATTAAATTAAATTAACTTCTATAATAATATCTTGATATAATTGCATGTATTTTCTATAAATTAAGCTTATGAGCCATCAATGTATACATACTGCTACAGAAAATATTTTTCTCAATCTGGTTTAAACGCCTGTAATTGTACCTCTCATGACATTGGCTACATCATATGACTGAGCTTTTATTGGTAAATAAAATAGTTGTGCATTCTTTATTGCTAGTATAATATTATTCAAAATATGCTGAGCCCTTTTACCATTTGAAACATTATTAAAGCAAAAGAAACATTCTGTACATTCTTCAACTAGCAAAACAATTTAGTATTAAAATAAAAAATAAGGAATAATTTGATCCCTTTTAATTCCATGTTGTTTTTTTTTACTTCTCTAATAACTATAATAATTAAAATATAATAAATAACAACAATCCTTGATTAGAGTCTGCAGATTTTTCATCATATCTACAAAAAGCAAGCCTTTAACTGGATAAAAGTAATAGGTATAATACTGATTATTTTCTTCATATAGATACGATTATTTAAAATTTCTTGCTTATGAGCAATAGATATTTGAGTGCTGTACACCCAGTTATTTTTGAAGCTTTAATGCATAATAATTCCCTATGCTAATAACATGAACAACTGACTTGTTTTGTTTTTCTAACTTAATAGTTAATCCGACTGCATAGATATTTTTATTAATTTCTATAAATCAATATAATTATCTAGTACAATACCTGTTACAAATTGTTCATGCGAGAGACCTTTTTCTAAGCTAAATATTTTAAAGTTTAAATTTCGGGCTAATGTAAATCAAGAATTGTTTTGGTTGCTTACTTTTTTTTATGAGTATCAATCAAGAAGTATGTATGAAACTTGATTATGGAGAAATAATTGAAAAACACCAAAGTACAGTAAGTTACAGAGAATCGCTAATTAATCTTATGAGTATTTGTTTTTGTGTGATTCATATTTTTATTTGTTATATTGAAAATTCTTGGGCATACCATTGAAAATTTACAAATACTTTTTGTAATTATTTTAATATTACATTTGTGTATATTTGTGTTTTATATATTTATATGTATTTATTTTGTATGAGTATAAACCAAAAATATTAAAAAGTATATTTAGGATTTATAAAAAAAATTAATTTTAATTTAATTATTTTTTTAAACTTTTCACAGTTCATAACAAATTATTTTATTAATAGTACAATCGTTTATTTGAATAATATTTTATATATTAATACCATTTTATAATTTCAAGAATGGACCATTCATTTTATTCATACATATTATTGTAGTTGTGGTAATGGGGTGACCTTACATATATTTTTTTTTGTCTTATTTATTTTATGAAATTTTTCATCATAGTTCTGGAGTTTGAATAAATTTATATTTATCCACACTATTGTATACGTATACATGCTACTAATATAAGGTATCTATAAATTAATCATGTTTTTTGATACATTTTATTTCATTTATTTAGATCATTAATATTCAGTATTGACATCTCAAATATTTTTGCAGAACAATTGACACTTCAAAATGGAATACTACGTATGGGTTTGCCCGGATATTTGAAAAATAATATTTGTGTGAAATTATGTTTTATTTTAATAATATTTTGTTACAGAAACACTTAGGAGGAAATGATTATTCCACGATTGAGATAGACAATATATACTGTAGCAATGGCGATTTAGAACTCACAGACAGAGAAGAGAATATAAGTAGGGGTATAGATATGTTGGCTGCATATCTTATGGAAAAAGCTTGTCGGGAAAAAAGCAAATGTGAACGCCAAAAATTTTTTAATGATATTACATATCTGTATTTGAACACGGATAAAATTGTTATGAATCACATGGTAAATCAATAATGATTATATTTAAATATTTTCAAAATATATCTTAATTTGAAATATTTACAGAATCATTTAATAGGCAGGGCCTTTGTCTGCTTATTAGATAATGAAACGATAGAAGAAGCTGATTTAAAATTATCTGAAATAATATTGAATTGTTTAGATTATGTACCATTTACATTCGGAAAATCGATCGATGAAATTGATGTAAGTGGATGTAAACGAAATCTTATCAAACAATGGAAGTTATTACGTCAAAAAAAAAAAAAAAACCTGAATATATTCGAACGGATATGTCGTTCAGTTTATTGAAATTAGGAGAGATTGAAAAAGCAAGATTGGGATTTGAATTAGCTTTAAAGTTAAACTCAAATTGTGTGCTTGCATTAGTAGGTCTTTCGATCACACTGTTAATTAAATCCAGCAAATCCCCGCATACTATTAATCTTAGTGTACAATTTTCAAATCAACTGACCGTTAAAACCATGAAAATAGAAAATATATTCAAAATAGCCAGTGATTATTCAACCGACGAGAATTTCGATAAAGCCATACAATATTCCAATATCATATTGCATAGATCAAGGAATTTACACCAAATAACTGAATGTTTTAATTTATTGGGTAAAATTTATGAATTAAAGGTAATATTATTTGTTATTTTTAAAAAATCCTTCACAAAATAAAATTTTAATCTATGACATATTTTAGCGTGACTATAATCGGTCATTCGTATATTATTGTCAAGCAGTTCATATGAATCCTATTGAAATTGGATATTCACATTACGGTCTTGCGAAAATGTATGTCCTGAATTGCTCCTTTGATAAGGTAATATCTTTTAGAAACATGTTTTTATTTTAAATTCATCTATGATCAAAATATTTGTGAATTTTAGGCTGAAAAGTGCTTGGAAATGTATTCACGTGTGAACCCAGAATGCAATAAATCTAAAGTAAAGCTTGGTTTATTGTATGTGCGTTCAGAATTTAAAGATAAAACGTACAAAGCTCAAACTTATCTGGAAGAAGTAATTTATTTTATTTTTTCTTTAATTTATAACCTTTTTAACTTGTTTTCTATATCTTAGGTAGTAAATGAAGTTCCAAACTGTCTGGAAGCCTGGGTTGGCTTAGGTTTGTTAGCCATAAACAATAACAAAGATTTAAAAAATATTTATCGTAAAATTATGGTTTTGTCACATAATTTAGAATTAACAGGCTTCTCAATTGACTTGATAATTGATATCGCTTTTATATATTACCAGTAAGATAAATGTAGAAAAAAATTATTACACAAATTATAAATATTTATTTTAATTAAAGGTATGAAAAATATAAGCACTGTCGCTCATTACTTGAAATAGCCATGAACTTCTTAAAAGAATTATCTGAAACCTCTCCATGTTTATATTTTGAATATCTGACTCAAATAGTTGACGTTCGTTTAGTCGAAGTTTATTTAAAACTTCAAAAATTTCAAAAGGCAGAAAAAGTATTGAAAGAAACTATCCAGAGACATCCAAAAGATATTGAATGTACCAATTTAAAATATTTTATCACCTTTTAAAATGTTCTGATCTTGTATAAATGTTATACTTTATTTTATAGCAATCATAAAAATGGCACATTTGTTTCAAGACCGTCATCAGGATAATGAGGCTCGCGAATATGCTAAAGAAGCATTGCAACTTAATCCAAGAAATCCTGAGGCCCTGAAAATACTTAGAGAATTGAATTTAGAAGATGAAATGGACTTATCTGAGTTTAATGTATGTTTAAAACTTTTTATATTTGATTTGATTTATTTATGATTTTGCAATTACAAGTTATAATAAATAACAGAAATTTTAACAATTATTATTCCAACAATAATATTATTTTTAACTATTTGTTTAAAGGAATCATCGCTTAAAAATCTAGTAAATATATTTAATAATTTGAAAGACATTGCAGTTCAAACTGTGAACAAAGATACAGAATTTGATAATTTGACTTTAGAATTTTTTGGAAAATTATTGAATTCTGATCCAGAATACATCTGGGGCCCTGGTAGATTGGGTAAGTAAATATATCTATTGGAATTTTGTTTTTATTACTAATAAATTATTAGTATTGTTAAAACAATATGTAATCTAATCTAGAGTAGATAATAAGACAATATTAAAATAATATGTTAATGTTTTAACATTTTCACCTTGCAAACATCTATAGTAAAAGCCAAACTATGTATATTCTCTTCAAAAATAACACAGTACATTTGTATTGAATATAATTTTTTTTAGTCCCTTCAATATTTTTAAATATTTCTCAGTAATTTTCACAATAGATGATTATTTTATTTTTAGAAGGAATTTTTTTTTGACAGAAACATAACATTAATATGATTTTTTTATGAAATGTTCATCAAATATTAATATATTTTTTATGATTATATTATTATTGTTGCATATAAATTTCAGGTAAAAGAATACTTAAAAATCCATCCATTCTTAACATTTCTTTTTGAGAATATAATTATATAGTTATAATATTTATTATATTGAAAATATTTTTGATCAATGATTTTATTTATTGATGAATTATTTCTTGTGTTTCGGTTATATGGAATTTGTTACTGTGTATAAGTTTATTTTTAAAATATTAATTGTTTTGTGTTTAGGAATGAATGTGTATAAAGTTTTATGGTTAAAAAAAAATAAAGAAAAAAATATAACAATTCACTAAATAATATTATTAACTATTGTAGTGTGAAATATCAAAATAATTAAATTAATAAATATGCTAAAATTCTAAACAATAATACTTATAGTGTCAAAATTACTTTTAAAACTAATAATAATTTAATTAAACATATAAATAATAGAACTAAAACTTCACAAAAAACCCTCTTCTTTTGAAAATGCTGGCATATATAAACCTAAATGTAATTTTAATAAATTGGATTTAGGTACCTATGACAAATAAGTATTTTAAAAGATAAAAAGATATAAACACATTTCTGAAATAAAATTAAAAAAAAGACTGCCCCTAATTCATATTTTGCTTAACATATTTTAAAAAATAACCATAATATAGATTTTAATATCAATACAGACTCAGAAATATTAAATACTTAAAATAACATTGGCATTAATTCAATTTTAGAAGAGAATATACACAATGAAACAAAGAAAAATTATTTTAATATTTTAAATATACAAAATGATTTTAAAAAGATTATAATATAATCTAATAATATATAATATCTAATATTATTTTTTTCAATACATTTTAGATAATAATAAATAATAATAAACCAAAGTATTTATATTTTTTAATATATCTATGTCTAATAAAAACTCATTTTAAATAATCTATCCTATTAAATTAAATTAACTCTATGTAAAACAACTAACTTTCTCAATGAAATACTTCTTTTATTTTGTTATATTCAGTTGCAATTTTATTAACTCTAAACATATCTGAGGATAAATTTTTAATTTAAAACCAGTCGTACTTAACAAATATAATAATTTCCCCAGACTTATTTATTTGTTTCTTTACTTATTTCCAGTGCATTTTTTAACTAGTTAATGAGGCCACACAAATGTCGCCCAGTAATTATACTCTGTACACAGTATTTTAAAAGATTAGGCGAAATAATGCAAAACAGACGTGTAATACTATAATCGTACCATGGTATTATACATTGACTATTTTGAGAAAAATATTATTTGTCGCCCAGTGAAAATTCCTTATAAAATGCACTGCTTATTTTTATACATGAGATATTTGATTATTTATATATAAAATAATATCTTATGCTATAATAAATAAATTACAGTACAAAATAATTTTTAATTCATGGAATTGAAATTTTATAATTTTTATTCGCAAATTTCTAATTTAATGTCAAGTAAGACTTAATGTTTGGCTGATATAAAATACGAATTTACTTATTTTAAAGTATAATTTTATGTTATAAAAAATTTAAAATTATTTCTAAATTTAGTTCTCATTATTTCTTTTAAACAATTCTTTTTTTCTTTCACCTTTCTCCTCCAAACTACTTGAGGTTAGCCAAAATTCTCCTAAACAGTTTAAAAATCAAAAAATGTCTCCTTTCAAGCACTCGATGGTAATATTATATTAGACTTTTTTGTGATGTTTTGTTTGACTGTCTGAAAGTTTCACAGTATTTCACTTCACTATGAATTTGATTATAATTGTTCACTTCACTATAATTGTCTTTTTTTTTTTTTTTTTAGGCCAACATCTAGCAAATAGTGAAATTTTAAGCAAATTGAAAAATGTATTTTCTACAGCCGAAAAATCTAATATATTATGCAGGACATGGATATATTATGCAGATTTTTGCATAAAAAATGGATACTACGATCAGAGTATTGAAATAGTATGTTAATTTTCATAGTTATTTAATAATGCATTAAATTTATATGATTTTAAATGTTATGTTTTAGATGGAAGTATGTTTGAAATTATTTTTTTTACATGATACTTTTGAAGTTCACACATTGATTGGATTTCAATATTCCTTAGCAGATAATTATCAATATAGTAAAAAAATGTTTTTAAAAGTAAGCAAGATAATTTATTGGTGATTATACCTGCTAAGAAATATGATTTAATTAAATATTAAATTTGATTTTAGGCTTTTATGGCTTCTCCTGGTGATATCTATATCATAAACAATTTTGCTTTTCAAATACAACAAATAGGGAACCTAATTCTAGAAAACAAAAAATGCACTATAAATGATGTCCATAAAGCCATGGAAAATATTAAATTAGCAGAGAAGTATGAACAAATATCTTTTTTTTTAATGCATTAATTATTAAATGGACAAATTTCTTTTGTATTCAGATATTATGCTTTTCTCTTAAGACAAAATGATGTTGTGGTTCATGGTGCAGCCAACGAAGGACTAGTACTTTGTCAATTAAAGATTCGTTCATTACCGACTTATATACGCCAAGTACGTCTAATGGAAATTAAATAGATGACATCTAAATCTTAAAGACAATTGAGGAACAATCAAATTTAAGTTAAATGTTAAGATAAAATACTGGAGCCATATGAAGACTACACATAACGCTTTTTGTCAAGACACTGAAATGAAAAAAAGTCTTCATAATTTTTTATATTTTAATGTATTATTGTAAATAATTGAAAATTTATATAATATAGAAAATACATATTGATGTATTTCTACATATATTTTTCACTACAATTTTGTTTTAAACTGTTTCATTATTATATTTTTGAAAAAAAAAATATTTTAAAATTATGAAAATTTACAATCGATAGAATAATTTAACCATTAGCAAATTTAAAAAAGTATTCAGATAAACACAAATATGATGAGGAAATTATATATCGTCGGCTACGAACGAAAATCTCGTAAGTCGTAATTTTCATAATTTTTTTTTTTTTTATTGGATGCACTGTATTTTGTGCACATTTTGATATCATATCAGATTATTTCCCGGTAATTTCATAAGATATCGTACAAAAACAAATGCTCGTATCTATATTATTAAAATCAAAACCTCGTAACTCGACTATAATATTATTTGTTTTTTTTTTCGTTATGAGTTTTATGACCAACCATCATCATACCAGTTGTTATATTAAAGTACAGTAAACTGCTTTTAAGTTATTTTGTACTATAGTAATAATATTATTTTATAAATCTGTTACAATATCTTTTTTACCTGAAGATGAAATTCAACAGCTTCTGAATACTATACTAAACAGTTCAAATGAAAATTTTGGTAATTGTTAAATTTTATATTGTTATTCTTATTTATGTGTAAAATTATTATTTATAACACTTGTTAGAATTTGAGGATGAAAATGTGGTTGAAGGCAGTCAAATTATTGATGATTTTCCTACTGTCAAAGGTATATAATATAAATAAGGCTATTTTATTTATGTAAAGATTGATTAGAAGAAATAAAAATTAAAGAAGAAAAATTTATACACCTCCAAGAACTAAAACAAGTTTTACCAAAACATACTTGGCAATTTTATGATAACTTACGTTATACAAAAAATAAAAATAAATGATCTATTTATTAATATAAAATATATATATATTTTTTTATTTTATCAAGTTGATTAATTTAATTATTATTTAAAGGTTTTAAAATTTTATTTTTTTATTAAATCAAGAAATGATCTATTTAATTGTTTTTAAATATTAACTTATTTATTATTATCAAGTTGATTTATTTTATTATTATTTAAAATTGTTATTGTATTAGTCTTATAACAGCACATATTATGTATTTCAATTAATTTGTAAAACATTTCCAAATAGTTTTAATTTTTCTCATAATTTATAGTTCTTTAATAAAATGTTAATTAACTGTATAATAAAAAAACAAATTAAGTTGAATTTTAAGTTAAATTTTATTATAATTTTAAATGTCACCAAAAACTTTTTAGTCAAATTAATTTAGATTCAAAAACTCGTAAGTCAAGATTTTACAGATACATAGTAGATAATTAGTAAAAAAGAAAATTAAAGTAAAATAATATATAATTGTCAAATATTAAAATACGTCACAGTTTTTTGCTGTTCCTGAACAATTTGATAAAAGTGACATACGAGGTTTCCGTCCGTAGCCGACGATATAAGAGATATATGCGAAGAAAATTATAAGACACATGTTTGCAACTCTCCTATAAGCATAAGCTTGTATTAGGAGCTATAAAATTTTGAGTACAATACTAGAAAAAAAAGATATACAAATTATTATAAAATTACATTAGCAAACTAGGAGGAAAAACATTTTTAACAAATAGTATAATCACAAATCATATATAAAAAATTTAACAAATCTAATGTGAAATCTAAATTTTCAGAAAAAATTTAAATATAAAAACGTTTTTGAAATTATAAATATTAATATTGAGCTTTCTACATATCTGAGTAGCTATGGATACAGAACATTTTAGTAATAGGTACACAAATATTAATATTCTCTTTGTATTGAGCATTATATGAATGATTAACTTTGGCTAGATTATGTTTAAACCTGTATAAGCTTAATAGGATATTTCTGAGCATAAATTTTGATAGCATGAAACATTAAATTCTAAATAAGCAGATTGTTTTATTACATTGTATAATTATCATTAATATAATATTAATGCTTTAAAAAGTAATTAAATAATAGTATATAAATTACCACGGAGGACGTAGGTAATTATATTTTATTTTACTATTTTATTATTATAATAAAATTGAATAACAACTAAATTTTAAACATTCTGTAGTATGGCTTACTTGTTAAACATTTCACGTTTGTTTTTGCCTATAAAATGTATAATAATTTTTTTGGTTTCATGAAAGTTTCTGATTCTTATAAAACATAATGTTATAGTTTTTTTTTATTAATATTGGTATGTGATTTTCTTTAGAATCAAAGGAATGAGAATATAGCTGATTAAATACATTTTTTTGACTTAGGCGACTAAAAACAGATAGTGCTAAATTTTGTGAAAAATCATTTTCGGTTATTTCTGAAATGTCATTTAATACTTGATGATATAAGAGTTCTGTCACATGGCAAATAGATATGGCATAATTTGCTGGTATGATCTGGTATATGACACACTGATTCTAATCACTAAAAAGTAGTCGACTGCATTTTTACTGTTTAATGCAAAAAATAATTATTAATATAAAATATGGTTAAAGGCTCTCTCGTAGCAATTGCATTGAAAACAGTCTAAAATTAAATAAATGGTCTTTTAATTTTTAATAATTATATTAATTTATTATTTTAATTATATTAATTATATTAAGTGTTCAATTCTCAATATTTAATACTCAATCAATTTATATGAAAATATACGTTTTTTTAAGGTTGTTTTTATACCTTTGGTAAATATAATAGAAGTTTATTTTCTTCCGGTAGAGATTTCTGATCCAGTCCGGACCTGCTTTTCAATGTATTATTCGTTATACATTTTGAATATTGTTTTTCATATGGACAGTCGATCACAAATAGTTGGGAGAAAGGCAAAAGAAAAGAAAAATATCATTTTTGATACGTTATTCAATATAAATTTAAATCGGTTATTGATTGCAAAACATTATTAACTATATATTTTAATCGTTTTTTTGGAAAGTTAAGCGTTATTATTATAAAATGTACATATTATTTTATATTTAACTAAAATATACCACTGGGCTTAGGGCCGGTTTTCATTCGTTTATTTGAATAAAATATTATTATTATTACGACAACGTTATAAAAACGTTTTGAAGATCTGGTCCTAAGTACATAATTTTTTAATATGTATGGTTAATTTATTAATCCGTTATCACATTATACAGTATATTTTAAAACAAACATGTACAACGCATCGTCTGAATTAGTTTACGCTGTTAAAAAATTGTTGGAAACATTGTAGTTTGGCCCATTTCGTGCGTCTCACTAAATTCACCATCGTGAACACCAGTGTCGGAAATGACGATAAGTAACTAATGGTTAATTGTTCCATGTCTGGACAAGTGCTCTTCATTGTTAAAATTGTATCACTGAAAATGTAATGAAGAAATCTGCTCGGCATACAACAATTGACAAATCTATTATTTTCTTCAGAAGTTTTCAAACTCATTGAAATCTAACAAAAAAAAACAAAAGGGAAAAATTTGGTAATAGTATTATCATGCTATGTGTAGTAACGTAAAAACCAGTTGATTCCGTACGCATTATTATATTGTAAATATACAATATACATATTCAAAATTAGTTGATAATTAAACTTATAGTAGTCTCAAACCTTAATATTGTTGATTATCTAATCGGCTCAAACATTTAATATTTTTTTTACTCTCAAACAAGGACGGGAAGTCTGATACCGAATTGAAAAATAATCATTATAATTATTGGAACTATTCAAGTCATAGAACCGAAACTCGTATATAATTTTTGCGAAGAACAATTTAAACTCCTTGTTGGGCGAAGGGAAAATACAATTTTATTCATAACTTCCCTTTAAGCATTTAGACTTTCTTTTTAACTTAATTAATAATTTTAATTTCTTATAATACTATAAAACGTAAAATAATATAAAAGAGACGAACCATTTTCATAGTTTATACAATTTAAAATGTGTATTAAATACTTCCGGGAACTGAAAATGAGTCACATATATATGTTTGTAAATGACCTTCATTTATTATTATTATAATTATTATTTATAATAATTTAATCATTTTCTGAACTAACCACACTATTTTCTATTAAATTGTTTTTTTTTCCTTTGCAGATTATATAGTTTTAGAGGGTGTGTCTTATTTGTGTGCGAAAAATATTTTTATAAGCTTATAAATATAACACTTTAATATTTTTGTAAATAATACAAAGAACGAAAAATTATTTGCATTTCTATGGGCAATGCTTTCTATGGGCAGTATTTACAAAAACAATATTTATAGCAGAAATCTCAGAACTGTGAACTCTATTAATATGTGTATGTAGTATATTTTATAACAATGGTTGTTACTGATAAATGGCTCGTGGGTAAACAAGAAATTTAACCTTTTTGGTTTTCAGCCCTGGAATCGTTATTAGGATCATTTATTTAATTTCGATAGTTGAATAGTCCTAACCGATTTAATCATATGAGTTCTAGTCTCTTCTTCGTGTCCCGGAATTATTTATTATAATACTAGAATCGTTCCGAGACAGCAATATAATTACTTCGTTTTTAACAGTTAATCTCACCAAATAATTATCCCAGTTGTCGGTAGCTATTGCATCCAAACATTTAGGAAAAGAATTGACATGAAATGAATCTGCAATGTACTGAACTTCTACACAAGTCATTAGAAAATCCCATTTTTTCTGATCACTCCATAAAAACACGTATCTAATTTAAAATCAATACTTCATTATTGTCATTATTGTGAACACATGTTATCGTAGCATTCTTACCGATTAATGGCTGTGATGTACGGTCTTTTCGATGCATGCCTACGAAGGCAGTTTTTCACCATCCGGCGGTGTTCTGAATTTTTTAGGCGAATTAACGTATGACCATTTTTTTTTGTTATCACATATTTCTTGGTATTCATTTCCAAACGGATGCACACCTCT